CAAAATATGGCCTGTTATGGGTTCCTTTAAGGGTTTCGGGCTTGGGCTTCCTTGACTTATTTTTAGAGTTGTTTTGAAAGGCTTTCGGGTGTAGGATTTGTTTATTTAGGGTTCTTGTTAACAATTTATGGCCAATGGCCTTACAGCTAAGGCCTGGGGCTTCTAACTTGAAGGGGGTTAAGAACTTTTCAGGGTTTTCGATTCATCCCGGATATCCCGGATTCCAAATCCAGCCCAGGCTGTGGGTATGCTGCTGAGATTGGAATCTCATGATAGGTGTCCTGGCTGTTTAATCTGTGCGTGTCCTGCGACCCCCGTGACAAAACCTGATCATGAATATGAAACATGAAGTCGCTTAGGTGCTGTTGGCGCCGGGTGCTCCATGACCCTCGCAGACGTGAGCATGAAAAATCAGGGCTCCCACCGTGCTGCTTCTGCAGATTCTGTGAACACCCCAAATAAACAACCCTATATGTGGCCCCGCTGCTGTTTCATAGCTTCCTTAAGGCACCATAAACAACCCTAATTGGAAAAAAAAGCAATCCCAGTACTGTTTTTATACATTCTACGAGCCCCACTTGCAATCCTCTCATAAACAAATTAAGCAGCCCCACTGCTGTTTCAGACCTTCTTGCGAGCACCAGTGTAACGAAATCAAATGAAATTAGTGGGCCCACTGCTCATTCTGTAGTGCCTTTGAACTTTTCCATACTTCCCCTGGAACAAGATCAATGCAAAAATCAGTGGTCCCATTGCTGTTTCTCCGGCTTCTTTGAACTTCCCCTATGCTTAATTTAATGACAAATCAGTGGTCCCACGGCTGTTTCTTAGCTTCGTTGGCACCCCTTTAAAAGGATTCCACCGATGTTTCTGTAGCTTTTTTGAGGCTCCCTTGAAGAACCCCAAAAATAGGCCTTGACGCAACCTGCGTGTTTATTACGCTGGTTGCGAACCTGCTCATTTAACGAGCAGGAAGGACGAGTAGGGTAATATAATAGGATCTAGAGTATAATAAGCTACTATAATATAATATGATATAATAGAATAGGATCACCAAAGTGGTCTCTGCTATGACCCAGTTCCTAACCGAGCAGCTCGGGAAGATCTCCGTCCTGGGTGACTACATGGAGAGTGAGAGAAGTTGGGCATTCTGACTGCGAGGGTTTTGTGGGGGTTGGGTAGGAATTTCCGAAGGAAATGAACGCATGTTTATTCGGATGTTATGTCCGATCTAAGAGTTCGTGCCCATCGTACCCTAAACCCTAAACCCTAAACCCATGTGCGTCTTTGGCTCTGTATCAGAACCGGGGGCCGGAGCTTGCCAGTTGTGCTGGGTGCTTAGGTTGTTAGATGGTCTACTCTTGTTGAGTTCATGTGCTTTTAGTTGCAGCCTGTGCCTCTTGGTGGGCCTCCTCTGGCTACCGGGTGAAACTTCTGAGTGATATTAGGCGAGTCTATGGTCCTAGGTTCTTACATGTTGTGTGTTGAGTGTGTATTGGGTATTTATCTGTTGGTGTGTGACCGCTTTACGCCCGCTTTTGCGTAGTCCACCTTCGTGGACTAGGTTTGGGGTTTAGGGCACAGAGGCCCCCCCCCAAATCCTTGAAACTCAGGAAGATTCCTCATGGGGCTCCTCATGCAGGAACCCCTACTCAATGTATTTGTTGGAGTCGGAAGCCTCGTTCGTTCATTCTTTATAAGTGTATGTGGAGGGAGAGACAGGGCGGTAAGGGACAGCGAGAGACCGGGACCAGACATTAATGCAAGGCCGACGCTAAAGGACGTTACCTATAGTCTCCACTGCCGTTCCTTTTTTGTGGTTTAACCAAGTTTGTGATCAGGATCCTAAACGGTAACCCCCAAAAAGAGCTACAATGGAGACTCTAGGTAACCCCCAAAAAGAACTACAATGGAGACTCTAGGTAGACTCGCAAACATCACCGCAAGGAAGATTGGAGTCGAGCCTGGGCTGCGGCTGAGGAGCCCAGCCAACCTTTGCTTCACTAGGGTTTAGGGTTTAGGGTATAGGATTTATAGGGTTTATAGGGTTTAGGGTTTAGGGGAGCTGGGTGTGCTGTTTGTGTGGGGAGGATTGACTGAAAGGCGTGCTCGAGTCTCACACAGTCCTCCTCCCCTGCCTTTATCCGTTTGACCCACTGTGCATGCGCATACCAACCTGAAACTCTAAGCCCTAAGCCGAATCTGTGTTATGTAGCTTCAGGCTAGTTTGCCGTCCTCTGCGTATTTTGGTTCGGTAACTTGAAGGAGCTGTTGGTTCGGAGTCCATCACTTGCTTCATACTTTTATCTTTTTGGGTCGGGTGCTTGAGAACAGGGTTTTCGCTTCAGCCTGCGATCTCTTTGGGCATGGGGTTGGGGGCCTTTTTGCGAGTTTTATGGGTTTTGTTTCCAGGCTTCCGGGCCGTTTATCGTGCTTCGAGAGGCCTGCTGGCCTAAGAGTTTGTGCTTGGGGTAGGGGCATGAGCCCTAAACCCTATAAGCCCTAAACTTTAGCCCTAAACCCTA